AGGGGAGGGGGGAGGTTAATGTAGAAAAAGATTTTAGTCTTTGTGATGCACTCACCATTCCCAAACCTCAGAGGTGGGCAGAATAATAGAAAAGTAGGAACTTCTTGAATGGAGTAGGAAGATAGTGATAATAAATATTATTTTCCTTTTCCTCTGGAAAGTTCTTTTAATGAACTGATCATTTTAGTGAACTGATCATTTTAGAACACGCCGCATTTCCCAGAAAATAAATATACCCTCAAGAATCTAGAACTGGGGCTGGAGCTAGAACAGCAGGTATGGTGCTTGCCTTGGATACAGCAGACCTAGGTTTAATTCCTGGCACCCTCTGTGGTCCCTCCAAGCCCACAAAGAGCAATTCCTGAGTGCAGAGCCAGGAGTAATAACCCCAGAGCACGGCCAAATGTGGCCCCCAAACAAAACAAACAAAACAGAATCCAGGAAGTCCAGGACCCTTTGGGGCGAACATCACCTGAGTTCTTTGTTGCTGTTCTGTGACAGGCACAACGAGTTTGACTTCATCTCAGGAACTCGGATGAGGAAGCTTGCACGGGAAGGAGAAAATCCTCCAGATGGTTTCATGGCTCCCAAAGCATGGAAGGTCCTGACGGATTATTACAGGTCCCTGGAGAAGAACAACTAAAAGTGCCCTTGGCACCACTGATTTTTTTTTCCCTGAAGTGCTCTTCATAGTTCCTCTTCTATTTTTTTTTTTTTTTTGTGATTAGATGCTTTGTATCCAGTTGCTTCTCAATTTGATTTTTTAGAGTTTTACAATGAGATAAGCAAAAGTGTCTATAATTTAAACTCAAGTTCACGATTTAAAATACTCAAAACATTAGACCAAATCTTGGCAGGTGAAAATAATATTGTGACTTCAGAGTTAAGCCATAGCATCTACTACATCTGAGCTGGTAGGTCCCAGATTTCTTAAAACTTTGATGTATCTGGTTAACTGGCCAAAAATAAAGCCTATTTCCTTATGTCCTGCCAACCTGAACTCTGAATGTCATAAAATAGACTAGCAGCATCTTCTATGCAACTGACACTAAAGAAGTATTTTTTTTCCTCGCCCTTCAAGAGATGTGGCTCATTCTTCAAGATTCTTGCTAATTTTTTCAGCCACATGTGAAAACAGCCTCACTGCCCAATCTCTTATGTATCTTGGAGAAACCATGTATGTGAAAATGTGAATTCAACCTCAGAAATCTATGCAACCTAGCTCTACCACAAAAGTTGATACTGTCTATTAATATGTCTTCATGACCTCCTGTGAGTACAATTCACTCCACTAAATGGTAACAAGGAGTGAGTGCCATGTTGAAAAGATTCGCTGCCAGGCTCAGACAGAGTGGCAATGTTGTGAAGTTCCTTTTTCTCCTCCTTGCTGGGTGACTGAGAGCCCTGGCATCCTGCAGACTGAGTCAGCATTAACTAAGAACAATTCACAGAGCTGGGGTCTGAAGCTAGAACTGGAAGACAGCAGGAAACACTGAAACCAATCCTTTCATCTTTGGGGTGACCAAACTGAAAAGATGCACAATGTGTGTGCTTCCTGAGCTCTGGGGCACTACACTACATGCAACAGACTGACAGGAGGGGCCAGGCTGATGGGCACTCACTTGCCTTGCACACAGCTGATCCAGGTTACATCTCTAGCATTCCCATTGGGGCGCACCTGTCAAGCATCTTGGATGCATAAGGATCCAGTTTTCTGAACCCAACTACAAATTTTGTTAGTTGAGAAAATGACTTTCCCCTTTTAAGCTGTTTTGAGACCTCCCCCTCTTTGCTTTCTGGGAGACAATCTTTCATACTGTATGTCTAATTCTTTATTACTAAGGAATTATATGAAGAAACCGCACCTTACCTAGGTCTTTCTGGAGACAAACTGGAAAGAAAAGTGATTCCACCCCTCTACACCCCATATTCTCCATTTAAAAAAAAAAGTTGATGATCTTAGCAAATTAAGGTTCTTTTGAGAATGTGACATACAATGGCCACAACAGACTTCAATTGCTCCAAATTATATAGTGCCTATACCCAAAATGCTCGCTACTGAGGCTTTTGAAAGATACAGTGTATTTATTGAAAATAAGACAGAATGTAGTGCCTTAACCAATGTGATTTTTTAAGGTAGATTTAAAACTGCCTTTATGCTTTAGTACTATACTTAGTGCAAATGATGTTTCTATGTACAACTGAAGCTTTATCTTGTTTTAATAAATTTCTTAATACGAAGACTGACATTTTCCTGCTTTTAACTCTGAAGTGCAGCTGACCAGCCTCGTGAGTGCTTGTGACTTTATATAACTGGCAACAGTGGCAGCCGGCAAGTCTTTCTCAGATCATAATTAAGAGGCTGTCCTCGGGATCAGAGAAACTGTACAGTGGGTAAAGCACTTACACACACATATACATTCCACAGCTAGGAACAAAACCTGTAAGTGAAAATGAACTTTATAAAAATGAACTTTACATGTCTTGCAGATTGTTACAACGTAGAATGTGAAAATTTTCACTTAGAGTAACATGAAAAATCCAGGTAAAATTTAAATACAACTTTTCTGACTAGAAAAACATGGTTAATTCAAATTATTCTTCATGAAGGACTTAATCCCCAGCACCCAATATAGTTCCTCCAATCCTGCCAGGAGTGACCCGATTATAGTCCCAGGAATAAGCCCTGAATACTGCTGGGTGTTGCCCAAAAGCAAAATAATAATAATAATAATTGTTTGGGTCAAAAGAGTAAATACAGTAGGTAAGGTGCTTACCTTGCATACTGCTGACCCAGGTTTGATTCCTAGAACATATGGTCTCAAGCCCCACCAGGAGCACAGAGCCAACAGGAAGCCCTGGACACCTCTGGGTGCGCCCAATCTACTCTCCTCCCCGCAAATTTTTTTAATGCTGATTTATAACTGCAAATATTAGGTAAAGGTAAAGGCCCTCCCGTTGATCGTCGATTTGCTCGAGCGGGCCCAGTAACGTCTCCATTGGAGACTTTGTTGTTACTGTGTCTGGCATATCGAATACTCTCGGTAGCTTGCCGGGCTCTCCGAGAGGGGCGGAGGAATCGAACTCGGGTCGGCCATGTTGGCCGCTTGTAAGGCGAACGCCCTACCCGCTGTGCTATCGCTCCAGTGATATATATATATTATAATGTAATATATTATAATTCTATTCAATGTTCTGATTTCTGAGGGGCTAGCGAGATGGCTCATAGGGGCGGGGTACAGACTTTGCAAGCAGAAGCTCCAAGTTTTATCTCTGGCACCACAAGTTTCCCCAAGTACTAAGCCAGGATAGCCTCCAAACACTGCACTTAGCACCAAAACAAAAGCTGAAAAAGCCCGAAACAGAGATGTTGACTTTATGAGAAATTATAGAGAATACATACATAATCCAATTTATTGTCTTTATCCAGAAGGTAGCAATATTTGTTGAACACAATTCCAGTAAAAACGAACTCCTACAAATGAGGAATGCCACTGCCATTTTTATAAAGGCACATGCAGAGCTTGCTACAGCCTCACCACTCCCAAACCATTACAGGAGAGAGAGGGAAGGAGGGAGGGAGGGAGGGAGGGAGGGAGGGAGGGAGGGAGGGAGGGAGGGGGAGAGTGAGTGAGTGAGTGAGGGAGGAAGAGAGAGAGAGAGAGAGAGAGGAAGGGAGGGAGAGAGAGTGTTGGGGGTGAGGGGTGGATGGAGGTTGTTGAATGACAGGAGAAAAAAAATCAGAGATACTGAATTGACTCAAGTCTTTAAGTTATTCCTGGAAAAGGCCTGGGAATAGTTTGACACACAACAGATTTATCAGAAGACTTCAACCCTAGAGAAACGTCACAGAGCTGATCCTTTCAATCTTGGAGCTGAGCAATAACAGCAGGTAGGGCACTTGCCATCCCATGAGTTCCACCAAAAATGACCCCTAAGTACAAAGCCAGGAGTAAGTACTGAAAACCACTGGGTGTGACCACCTGCCCCAAAATCAATCTTGATCCCTGGAGTACAGGCCTAGCAAAATGGTTTTCAGAAGGAAGAAATGCTATAAAACAGCATGGTTCAACAGATATATAAATCAAAGTGTAAACATAGTAAAATTAACGAAAGAGCTATTCAGCAGTGACTAGGCTGGGCTCTGTGCCCACTGCCCCTATACTGTACTGTCATACTATTACACAACCCTGTATAAGGTGAGTGCCACTGCTTCTCTATTTTGCAATTTCTATGAGGACAAGTTAGAAAACAAGTTCAAGAATTAATGTTTTGGGCTACATAATGATGCGCAGGGGTTACTCTTGGCTCTGCACTCAGGAATCACTCCTGGTGGTACTCAGGGGACAATATGGGGTGCTGGAAATCAAACCTGGTTCGGCCGTGTGTAAGGCAAGCACCTTACTTGCTGTACTATTATTCCAGCCCCAAGAATACATAATTACTAATAGGGAGCCTGGATTTAAACTCGGGCAGTATAATTCGAGATTCTGTACTTTCAGCCTTTACCACAAAGATAATACTTCAAAGCCTGGAACCAAATGTTTTCAAATGCATGTTTACAGATGAATAAATCATGACAGTAAAATGCTTTATAAATAATATAAATTTCCTTAATTACATTACAATGGTGCCCAGTAAGTTATGTTTGCTGAAATTAGTGTATTTCAAACTTCATTTTAAAAGGACAAAACTTTAGTAACTACTTCTATTAGACACTCTGAATTTAAGAGAAAATAAAAAGAACATGAGAATTAGAGAGCACTAATTTTAAATCAACATGTCATCAAAGTTAAAGGAAGTTATTAAGTTCTTACTAAATGAAGTCATAAAATTCGTACTAAAAGCAATTATTTAGATTACTAGAATGTATGCTTTAAATGACTGAAAGCTACACAACAAGACAAAAGCAGTCCAAAGGCAAGTTCTATAAACCAGAGGAGAAAAAAACAGGAATTTCATGACCAAAAAGACCAAGGAATAGAGAACACTCAAAGAGGTACCTCTTTATTACAATTTATTAAATAATAACATAATAGTTATTAAAAATGGAAATGAAATTTTTATTTTTGGTATCTTGTGTTTTGCATTTTTCAATCATCTTGACTATTTTCAAAACTGGCTTTTCATTATCGAATGAAGTGTTTTCCTGCAATCTCTGTGCCACCCACCAAAACACAATTTAAGAGAATAAATTATCCAGTAGACTACTGAGAGACTCATTATAAAAGAAATTAACTCAGTAACTCACAAATAAAGACAAAATTTTCAAAGAAATACAAAAAAAAACAAAATATATTCAGCATAATTTAATCTTATGGTTGATTCAGAAGGCACGCACTTCAAGATCATATTGTGCCATTTTCCTCATGCTGTGTTTAAGTGCTTATAACAAAATTCCGATTAGTGAAATATTGGTCATAAAAATATTTTTCATAGGTAGTGCACAGAGCATCAAATGACTATAGACGTTAATATGAGAATTCTGATGTGGATGTCTGCCCTACCTGGGCACAACTTATACTAAGAGAACTTTAAAAAAAAAATCTTAATGATTATTTTAGCACATTTAGTAACACCTACTAGCTTTAAACATACTTCTTTTTTTTAATTACCTCATGGTATTTGATCCTAATAAAGGAACAACTTTAAAATAACATTTGAAAAATATGGTTAAAACAGAACTATGTCACATTAGCTGAAGAAGGGAAAGTCACATTCATAGACTGAATGGTACTGGGCTTTTTCAAAGCCATTCTGTGAAAGACTTTCAGTCCACCTTTACATAGAGCAACTAAAACAATGTTCAGCCCATTGTGCTTGCAGAAAGAAGTGAAAATGATTTCACTCTCACAACTGCATGACAACCATTCAATGTGATCACTCAAGGAGTATTTTTATTATCCTGGCAACCACAATAATTAAACTACATCTAAAGTATTCAGATGTACTTGACTTCTAACTACTGAACCACAGGGAATACTTTAACTTTAAAAAAAAAAGTGACAACTGGAAATAACTGAATCACTGTACCTTTCAGACACAACTTTAAATCTTCATTTTTCTATATAGACTATTTGGTACCTTTTGATTCAGTAGGTGGATAAAAAAAAGGTTTTGTATTCAAACATATCTACAGAATGTCAATATAAAATGTGTGAATATATACACTTAATATACACACATACATACATACACACATACTTATCTAGAAACCGGCACTTAAATCACATCCCCATTTCTCACTAATGTCTCAATGACTCATCTGTTACTTTAAGACCATGCTATAAGGCTGCAACATATGGCTAAAGAGGTCAAACACAAGCACCCACAGTCAAGATGGATTAAATTGTTCCTCCTCATGATTTGTGACAGTAGTAATATAACTGTATCTCAATAACTTAGAATTCAGAGTATAAAAAATGTGTCAAACATCTGACTCCCTCACTAGTTAAAGAACACTCCTTCGACTCTATTTCCACTAATAAAAGGACACACCAAACCGGGTCACACTGAACTGTACAAATGATCTTTACTCTTAATCTAAACAAACGTGTGTTAAAACATTCTGAAATGCTGCATCCTTTGATTTCTTCATCTTTTCAATTGCCCGATGCAGGTCCTGTTGTTGCACAGGCCGAATTTCATCTTCATCATGGCTAAAATGCAAGCAAAATCATCAAATATGAAATAACATCAAATAATATACTTCTTTAAATATTTATCAAGATTAAAAAAGTTTCCATCCTATCCAAGACCAAAGACAACCATAATTACAGACTCTCTCTGAATTACTCTATCACCTGTCTTTATGTTAATCTTGACATTTTTTCTTTTTGGGTCACACCCAGCTATGCTCAGGGGTTACTCCTGGCTCTGCACTCAGGAATTACTCCTGGTGGTACTCATATGGGAAGCCAGAGATCAAACCCAGTTCAGCTGTGTACAAGACTCAGTCCCATATGTGAATCTTTATTAAGCTTTGACCATGTGCTAGCGATAAGAGACCCTAATTCAGGGGCTGGGGTGATAGCACAGTGGGTAGGGTGTTCGCCTTGCACACGACAGACCCAGGTTCGATTCCCAACATCCCATATGGTCCCCTGAGCACCGCCAGGAGTAATTCCTGAGTGAATGAGCCAGGAGTAACCCTTGTGCAATGCCGGGTGTGACCCCAAAATAGTTCAATCCCCAGTACCAATCAATCAATCAATCAATCAATAAAAGTTTCACTAAGAGGCACAGAAAGCTACGATGGACAGTGATAAACATTATAGCAGTAGTAACTATAAATTAAATACCTTACACTGTAGTAGTAGCAATGTCATAGCACTGTCCTCCCGTTGTTCATCGATTTGCTCAAGCGGGCCCAGTAACATCTCCATTATGAGACTTGTTACTGTGTTTGGCATATCGAAAACATTAGGGTAGTTTGCCAGGTTCTGCCATTCGGGCGAGATACTCTTGGTAGCTTGCCGGGCTCTCCGAGAGGGGCGGAGGAATTGAACTCGGGTCGACTGGGTCGGTCACGTGCAAGGCAAATGCCCTACCCGCTGTGCTATCACTCCAGCCCACTTTACACTAAGAATATAATTATAGATTATCATAAGGTGAAAGAGTTTAGTGTCAATCTAAATGGACCGGCAATTCCAAAAACAGAAATCAAAGGTTACTGACTGGACAACTGGGGGTGGCAGACAAGCACTCCTGGCATTGCAACGATGGAACCCAGCCTCCCACAAGTAGGTACTCAGCCAGAGAGCTCTCTCTCTGCTTCCAAAAAAACTTTTTAAAGGGTCTATCGAAACTAAATTATTCCAGTTCACTAACTGCTGCTGTAACAGGGTTGCCACAAAATTGGTCTCCTGCAGCTGGAGAGGTAGTACAGCGGGCATGGGACCTCCGAGCATGTGGCCAACGCAGATTTGATCCCAGCACCACATATAGTCGTGCTGGGATCAAATCTGGGATCCCAAGCCATGCAGGAGTGATTTCCAAGCACAAAGCCAGGAGTAAGCCCTGAGCAAAAGTGAGTGTTGGCCCCAAACCAAATAATTTTTTCAAGTGGTTTCTCAAAAGCTCATCATATTCTGAAACTGGTTTTAAGCACAATTCTCAGCAGTCATAAATCATGCCTTGGTTTAATAAACATGTATTTTAATTAGACTGGAAGTCTAGTCCCCAGCAGGCTCCTGCAACATAAAAACTTCTGAGACAAGGCATTCATATCCATGTGAAATAAAACTTAAGAACCCTGATTTCCAAGAGATGAGGAGTAATCTTAGTAATCAGTTAACTTTCTGTGACTTACTCCACAGGTTTGTAGTAGAAATTTAATTTTTTAATTTCTTACTCTTCTTTCCAGACCATTTCCATGAAAATCTCTTTTTGGAAAAAAAGTAAACAGAACTGGAGGAATTAGTAGCAAAGCTGGTGTTGCAAAACAAATTAAATAGCTTTAAAAGATATCGGCCATTAGAGAAATTAGAGACCAACTCTAAATACACATACCTTTCTTCTGATGCAGAATTAACATATTCCCTAACACAGAGGAGGGCAGCATCTCGACACATCTCCTTTAGGTCACTTCCGGAAAACCCATCAGTTTCCTGGGCTACTTCTAACAGGTCCACATGTCTATCCACCTTCAAGCAAATATGAAACATGCATTTAAAAAATAAGATATACACAGATATGTATATATGTAATATGCTGGAAACAACATATGCAAACACTTATTAGAATTAAAGAACATTAGTATAAGGGGTCAGCAGCAGCTTGGGAGAAGAATCATTTAAAAGTAGGGCTAGAAAGAGAATCCAAAGAACTAGAGCTGGGGATAGAACAGGTTCAATCCCCAGCACCACATGCTCCCCTAAGCACTGCCAGGAGTTACCTCCAAGTACTGTCAGGTGTGTCACCACACCCCTTTGAGAAACTGTATTTAAAAAAATTGATTAAAAAAAACTGCAATATATAGACTCGAGGAGTATAACAGGCAGGGCTTGCCATGCACTTAGCTGACTTGGGTTTGATCCCCAGCATTCCATATGTTCGGTCTCCCAAGCACCACAAAGAGTGATCTCTTAAGTGCAGAACCATGAGTAAGCCCTGAGCATCGCCAAGTTGTTTGATCACTTGACATCCAGTTACTCATCAATTTGCTCGAGTTGGCGCCAGAAACGTCTCCATTTGTCCCTGTCACGTGCTAGTATAGCACAATGGCACCTGCTCGTTCTAGGAGCACAAAAAGTCTCAAACCAATCGTTCAGGGTCTTGATGAAGAAGTCTGACCATCTCTTAGGTGGGCGGCCACGCGCTCTTTTGACGTCCTGTGGAATCCAGTCGGTAATGGCTCTAGTACACTCACTAGTTGTCTCCAAATCTCATTATGTTTCCAGCCCATCTGATTTTCGATGCCTTGGCAAATGCAACAGTGTCCCTGATTCTTGATCGTGGACGGAGGTCGGAACTCCAGATTCTTTCTCTCACTTGAGTGAAGCGTGATACTACAAGCATAGCTCTTTCAATTCCTCTTTGGGAGACCCAGAGAGCGTTCTCATCCTGTTTTCCTAGGGTGCAGGCTTCTGAGGCATGTTAATGCAGGAAGAATATTGGAATCAAAGAGATGTGCCCAGAGCCGGAGGTTCTTTATCCTCTTAGCTATTTCTTTGACGCTCTTGAAGGCGTCCCAAGCCACTGTCTTCCTCCTACGCAACTCAGTTGTCAGGTCATGTTGACTTCTCAACCTAGGTACACATTAACTGTTGCATTCGGAGATGTTCGTTCGGTTGAGAGCGAATGAACGTCAGGAACAAGTCCGTTTCTCATAAACATTGTCTTCGTGAGATTCAACTGTAGTCCGACCTTTCCACACTCACGCTCGAAGTCGGCCAGCATTTGTGCTGTTTGGCTAATGTTTGGTATTATTAAAATGATGTCATCAGCGAAGCAGAGGTGGTGTAGTTGCTAACCGTCTATCTTCACTCCCATTCCTTCCCATTCCAGTCGTTGCATGATGTTCTCAATGGTGGCACTTAAGTTTCGGTGAAATGGTATCACCCTGCCGAACCCCTCTCTTGACATAGAAGATCACTACCTTGTAGAATGGTGAGATCCTGGTAGTGAATCCATAACCAGGATCTCACCATTACAGCTCATGGAGGATCCTGATGTAATGAGTTTGAAAGCTGTTTAGCTAGGGCTTCAATGACCACTTCAGTCTCAAAAGAATCAAAGGCCTTCTTTAAATCAATGAACGTTAGACAGAGCCGCATCTTGAACTCCCGAAAAACCTCAATGAGCTGTGATCACCGTGTGCATATGGTCGATCGTGCTGAATCCTTTTCGGAACCTGACTTGCTTGCACGATTGTCCTTCATCCTATTCAGGATGACTCGAGTAAACAGCTTGTTAGATGACAGACAACAGGCAGATCGGGCGATAGTTGCAAATGTCGTGGATGTCTCCCTTCTTGTATAGTAGTACAGTACTGCTCAGACAGGTAGCATGTGAAGAGCCGAGCCAGTGTACCGATGAGTACTGACGGCAGATTCTTCAAGTGTTCGGGTATGACTTTGTCTGGGCCAGGTGCTGTTCGCTTCTTTACTGACAAAATGGCGTGTTGGATTTTGGATGGGAGAACGCTGGGAATGACATATCCATCCTGCGGAATTTGGTATGTGAACAGGTGGACGTGGCTCTCGAAGAGATCTGAGTAGAAGTCATAGATAATCTTCTCCATTGCCCTTCTGGAAGATGTGATAGATCCATCAGGACATCGGAGGGCAGTCATCTTGGTCTTGTAGTTGGTGAAAGACAGGTGGGCGTTGTGAATGCTTTTCCCAGCTTCTGCTGTATCTGCCAGCACTGCTGCTCTTCTCTCTTTTACGTCTTCCTTTATTACTTCTCTGCACTGCTTTGTGAACTCGGACATTCGCTTGTGGTCGTCTGAGGCTTGAGCCAAGCCACACTGGAGAATGTGCTTGAGAGTTTTTGAAGACAGGCGTCTTTTTGTGGCTATCTCTTTCTCAGCTTACCTTGCACAATCATGGAGGTGCTGAACCAGTCGATCATATTCCTCGTCAATGTTGTCAATGACGGCAACTTCCCACGTTGCCGCAGTAGTGCCAAAGAGCTCCCAGCTGGTGGTCGTTCAGGGAGTTCTCTTCTTAAACCTTGCAGCCCTTTCTCCCTGCTCCGTTAAGTAGAATTTTGCAGGAAAGAGATGGTGGTCCGATCCCGTTGGGAATTTTGGGACAACAGCAACATCGGTCAGGCAAGACCATCAACTGAATATGATGTGGTCAATTTTGTTGTGGAACCATCCACTGGGAGACTCCCATGTCCAACGTTTAGATTCGGCCTTCTGGAACTGTAAGTTACCATAGACGGTCTTGGTCGACATGATGAACTCGGATAGTCTGTCACCCTGTTTGTTCCATTTTAGGCCATGGGTCCCGATGTGGAGTTCTTCGGCCGATCTCCTTGGTTCTATCTTGGCATTAAAATCACAGACTATGATCTTGTAGAAGATATGGTATATATCTTTATATAACTTCTCCAGCTCCATGTAGAACTTCTCAATTTTTTTCTTCATTGTAACTGGATGTTGGTGCATAGACAAGAAAGATAGAAACTGCCAGCAGTGAGCCACATCTATTCAAGTGTAATCATCTGGTTCAAGTTCTTAGGCATTCGAATGAATCAATGCTCGTGGCCAAGTTCATGTTGACAAGGATACGGTCACCACCTTCGCCTCTTTTGTCACATGTTCTGAGGAACAGTTCTTCTCCAGAGTCGAAAACGGCATGATGTGATTAATGCCTTCCCGTCTCCGGTCAGACCTATGATGCCATACTTGATCTTTCATGCTGCACCATCAGGCCCTCGATGGATGCTTCTGATACCAGCGTACATGCGTTGAAAGGACAGACAGTCATTTTTGTCCTTCTTCATTTTGGCAGCCTAGGTTGGCCTTGAGATTTTATCAGCCTCTCCTTCCTCATCCTTCTTAACGCTGTCGTTACGCTTCTCCTGATGCTGAAAGAGCCACCAATACGGCAGCATTAAGAAGGAGGAAGGAGGCTGATAAAAATCTCAAGGCCAAACTAGGCTGCCAAAATGAAGAAGGCCCTGAAACAAAAACAAAAACCCTCCCATATAAACATGAACAAAATATTCAAGTGTCTCTTAAATACTTCATGCTTATTTCTTCCCCAAAGATTGCAAATTAAAATTACAATACACCAGGCTAAGCCTCTTGGACAGCCTGGCAAGCTACGAAGTTTATCCAGCCCACATGACAGAGCCTGGCAAGCTCCCTGTGGCGTATTCGACATGCCAAAAACAGTATCACAATTTGTTGTGAGATATTACTGGCGCCCACTCGAGCAAATCGATGAACAATGGTAGGACAGTACTACAGTGCTACCAGGCTAAGCGATACTATGATGTAGAAAGGCTATCCAATGCAGCATTTTTTTAATAGTGAAAGAATGAAATCAACCCAAACATCCTTCAATATGGAAGTGATTAAATATAGTTCTTGTATAAAAGGGAAGAGAAATTAATATTGCAACTTGCTTATATAGGCATAACGTCAGCTAAAAGATGATAGACATTTCTCTATATCTACTATACATTCTTAATTTTTTGAAACATTACTTGTTTTTTGAATGTTAAATACAAGAATCCTGAAGAATTTGATTAGTGTGCCTTTTAAATCTAAGTTCCTGGGCCTGGACAGATATTACAGCGGGTAGGGTAGGGCTCTTGCTTGCACATGGCAGACCAGGTTTTGATCCCTGGCACCCCATATGATACTCCAAGCCTCACCAGGAGTGATGCCTGAGTAGCGAGCCAAAAGTGAGCCCTGAGCACTGCCACGTGTGCCTGAAGAATCAAACGCAAACAGTAACAAAAATCTAAATCCCTACTTCAATTAAATTTTTTAAAACAACAGGGGTCAGAGAGATTGCACAGCACAAAGGACACCTGCCTTACATATGACCAACCAGGGTGATCCCTGACACCCCATATGGTTCCCTGAGCACCGCCAGGAGGATTCCTGAGCAAAAAGCAAGGGGCAATCCCTAAGGAACACTAAGTGTGCCCCATCCCACAAAAAAAAAATTTAAATTAAATTAAAAAAAATTAAAAACCACCCCCCCCCCCCTCGGGGCTGGAGCGACAGCACAGCGGGTAGGGCATCTGCCTTATACGCAGCCAATATGGCCGATCCAGGTTCGATTCCCAGCATCCCATATGGTCCCCCGAGCACCACCAGGAGTAATTCCTGAGTGCATGAGCCAGGAGTAACCCCTGAGCATCGCCGGGTGTGACCCAAAAAGCAAAAAAAAAAAACCACCCCCCCACACACAAAAAAAACCAACCATATTCCTTTAAAAATATATATATATATATAATTCTTTTGTAACAAAGTGACATTCCAACAGCAGGATTTTTAATCTACAGATAGAAAACTGTAAGGTTTTTTAAAAAGATCATTATACCATTTCTCTCTAAAATCATTTTATAGACATAAATGTCATATTTACAGGATGGGTCAAAGTGTAATTTGCTACTTACATTTTCATTTTTTAAGATGAGTTTGAGGATTGCTTCTCTTTGTTTTAAAGCCTAAAAAAATAATTTCTAGGTTAGTTAGCATTAAAAAAAAAAGGATTAACTTGCTTTCCCAATTTTTTTTGTCAAGATAACAGCTGTAGGAAATAATAGAAATTGACAGAAGTCATGCAAACTAGTAGCTAAACCTCTCTTTAGAGCAGAGGTTCCAAATTTATGTGGTCTACTCTCCCTCTTTTGGGGGGCCAGGAATCACTCAGTATCCCCTTAGAAACCTACCTTCATCAAGCAATAAAACAGAAAGCAACCCTAATTAACACTTAAAAGGTTACTAATCTCTGGATCATTCCAGTCATCCAGTAGGTATGGTATCACCTACTTTGGGAAACAATGCTCTAGTCACTTTGAATAATCTTACTACTAGATCTTTTTCTTCTGAATTCCTAACACTGACTAGCACAATGTCTAGCGATTATCATTGACTATAAAAGGTAAAAGATAAAGGCCCTCCCGTTGATCATCGATTTGCTCGAGCGGGCCCAGTAAGTCTCCATTGGAGACTTTGTTGTTACTGTGTCTGGCATATCGAATACGGTAGCTTGCCGGGGCTCTCCGAGAGGGGCGGAGGAATCGAACTCGGGTCGGCCATGTTGGCTGCATGCAAGGCAAACGCCCTACCGCTGTGCTATCACTCCAGCATTATATATATATATGTATGTATATATATATATATCTTATGGAGCGAAGCACAGCAGTAGTAAATGAACAGATAAAAATGAGATTAACTATGTTGTAGAAATAAATCGCACTGATCTTCCAAAAACGGAATTAAAAAAAGGGAATGGAAGGACTGCAAGACAGCAAAGGAACTGGGGACAGTTCCTTTCTATTTCTTTCTTCTTTACCATTAACTCCCATTAAAAATAATAATAATAATAATAATAATAATAATCCTTTGACAAGAAGTATTAGTGGAGTGAAGGCCTTACCTGAGACTCCGTTTGCCACAATTCAGGCTCAAATCCCCAGCACCATTTTGGGGTCATTCCCAAGCAGAGCCAGGAATAGACTCTGAGCATATCCAGGTGTGCCCCAAAATATAACAAAAACAAAAAGGAGCTGGAGTGGTAGTGCAGCAGGGAGAACATTTGCCTTGCACGTAGCCAACTGGGTGCGATCCCTGATATGCTATAAAGTTCCTCAAGCACACCAGTGAGTGTAGAGCCAGGAGTAACCCCTGAGTATTACCAGGTTTGGCCCCAAAACAAACAAAAAATAACAGTAACTTAAAAACCCAAAAAAAAAAACAAAAAAAGGTCTAGAGAGGCAATACAGGGGTTAAGGCATTTGCTTTCCACCCAGTTCACACTGGTTCAAACCGTGGTACCACATAGCACCACCAAGTATGAGCCATCTTGTCTACCACCCCAAAACATTCCCTACTGAAATCACAAGACGTATCATAAAAGATGACTGTGTAACTATTTAGTTATCAATCAAAACCACCTACTGGCTGATTGATATGAAATCTTGTTGGCATCCTTCTCATAATAGCGGAGTCAAGATCCTGAGGACGATTAGTAGCTCCCATCACTATGACCTACATAAACAAAGAACACACAAGGTATTAATTAAATCTAACAATTGCATTCTTTTTTATAACTTTATTATAGTTTAGGTAATGTGTGTACAATGGTGTTGATGTTTAGTCTTGGTGTTAGTCACCGCAACTCATCATCGTCCAAGTGCCTAAGGAATCCCCCCCCTCATGCCTTCGTATCATATCCAGTCCACCTACTGCCCCCCCCAAATATGGTGTTATTACTAGAATTGATAAGGTACTGAAAATTAAGAACCATTTAAACTGAATTTTCTGTAAGAAATGTGATTATAGGGACGAAAAGATAGTCGAGCATCAAGGCACTTGCCTTACATGTGGCCAACCCTGGTTTGATCCCCAGCATTACATATGGTCTCCTAACACCACCAGGATTGACCCCTGAGTGGACAGACAGGAGTAGATTATTAGCAGATGTGGTCCCAGGACTCAGCCCCCAAAAGAATATGATTTAAGCCAACTATTACTTAAATATTTAGATACAAATTATTGTTAATCCCCAAAGTAAGCAAAGCCAGTAAAACCAGTCAAGTTCAGAGAACTAAATGATATAAAACTAAATTGTATTTTAAAAAATTACATCTAAATGATATAAAATTTATTTTTAACTTTTTAAATTCTCCAAGAGAGAATTGTTCAGTGGCTACAGGCCAAGTAGTTTAAGTCATTTACATTATAGCTTAGCATGAGAATATACATGCTTGGGTAGAACTTCAAGACTTTTAATAATAGTATTAAAGGAAAAAATCAGTTCCCCCAGTCTGAGGATTCTGGTAATAGTAATAAATAACAAGGATTATCTTGCTCAAGATTTCATATCTTCACCTCAAAGTACTATTTCAACACTATAAGCAATTATCTTTTGCTTTATGGCCAAACCGAGATCATGAAGTGCCAGAGACTGAACCCAGGGCTCCCACATGCAAAGCACGTGTTCCAGCCCTTTGAATAACCTCTCTGACCTGAAAGTGAAACCGTAATGATAATAAGTTTCAAATCAAACTTTAGAAAAGGGCTACAGAATAAAAACTGCAGCAAAATGCTTGGCAGAATTTTAAAAAGTAAAAAGCTAATGACCCTGACAAACCTCTCGATTAATGTCATTTATAAAATATGACTGAACAAGACAAAGATAAAAGCATTTGTTTCTGAAGGGCTTCAAGCCTGTTGACATTTCTGTATAACCTATGAACAGCAGGCATCTGCTACCACAAATGAAATTCAGTGGAAAGTTTCATTTCATAACTACTCTATTTCAACCTAAAAGATTTCTGATTCCCAAAATAATCTGAAATCTAACTTCTGAACTTCTGAACATTGAAAGGTGCACTGAATCTTATATTCTGCACCCATTCTTTACATCTGATATTCAAGAGCCAAATTATTTCCAATTAACTATGAAAGGATGTCACCTAGAGGAAAAATAAATACAAATATAAAAATAAATCTTGAGAAATGTTACTTTCTCAGTAAAATTCAATTTCAGATTTCAGTTAGGTGGTCCTACATTCACAGCATCAATACTATTTTTCTTTACTGACTTCTACAACTCCCTAAAATTTGCTGTAAAATTAAGACAAGCCGTAGATCAAAAGACTAATAAGGCAAAGGATGAATATAAAGGATTGTACCTTTAAGTGCTACAAGACAGATTCAAATTAATATGGAAGATAGCAAAGACTGACCATACTAGGTAGGAGAGAATTAGGAAATTTTTTAAACCATTAAGAAAATTTATACAAGAAACTGACAAACTGAGAAACATTCTAGGAATAGCAACAACTAAAACAAAACAAAAAAACCCGTATATGGGAGCCCCAATGTAGACCCCGGCACTGCATATTCCCACCCCCCTCCCCCCTCCCGGCCAGGAATGGTCAAAACAACAGCAACAAAAACAAAACAACAAAAATTCCACAACGGAAGATAAAAATGCTACAATTTAGGATCAAGGAATCTAAATAAATATTACTTATTCTAATGAATATATACAAGACAATAAAAGATACTCATGTTTAAAAAAAAGTGATCACAATCATTTATTAGAGACTGATTTAAAGGGCAAAAACAGACTCTTTATATACATTAACTACTGTATAAAATTAAAGTTAAAATGTAAAACAGTAGCAACAGTTTTAGTATTTAAGCAGCAAAATTAATGTACCCATTTAGGTATTTTTTTAAGATTTTTAAAATCATTTAAAAGGAGCTGGTGATACTAAAAGGGTTAAGGTACTTGCCAGCACCATGTGTGAGCCCTGGACACAGGAGGAAGCCATAAAGCACAGCAAGGTGTGGCCCAAACCCCTCACCACTCCCACAAATACACATCCGCCCAACTACAAAATCTTTTAAAATGATATAAAAGCTCAACTTTGAAAAAAAATTATTTTACATAGGGCCAGAAAGACAGTACAGTGACCCAGGGTCAATCCCTAGTACCCCCTGGGTCCCACCAAGAGTGATTCCTGAGCACAGAGCCAGGAGTAAGCCCTGAGTATTGGCGAGTGTGGCCCCCTATCCACCAATCATCTTACACTTTAAAAAATTAAGATCTAGGCAGGGAATATGACTCAGTGTAAACACCTCACCTGCATGCGGACATCCTGGATTTGACCCTCAACACCAAAATTAGAGACCACACCATATCTGACACTCTCGACATAGAAACGGCACAACACAACCTGATTTCATTAAACTGCCAAGCCACCAAATTGTTTCAGATCTATTTCTCTTGTACCATGCAGCCACATTTAGAGCCACACACTATAAAATTTCAGAGCCAAGTGGGATCACAGCAAATCTGATGGGAAAGTTGCATAGAAGCCCACCAAGTTCAGTGAGACTAAACAGTAACAAAGAAGGCTCAACTAGCTCAATCAGCACAGTGGAATCCTCAGACAATGACTTCAGTAACATCTTTGTGAAATGATCACAAATTGACAACTATTGATCTAAGGTTTGATAATACCATTTGCCGTTATGCTGTAACAAACAATATGAGGTAAGCATGTTTGTGCCTGCAAGGGGGCAGACTAGGGTGGTGGGTTGGAAACTGGGGACACTGGTGGAGAGAAGGTCGCACTGGTATTGGGACTGGTGGTGGTACATTTAAGGCCTGAAACAACTGTATTATGAGTAACTTGGAAAATCATGGTGTTATAATTTTTTAAAACTTTTAAATAGGGGGCCTGGAGCTATAGCACACGGGTAGGGCATTTGTCTTGCATGCAGCCAACCCAGGTTCGATTCCCAATATCCCATATGGTCCCCAGAGTACCGCCAGGGGTAATTCCTGAGTGCAGAGCCAGGAGCAACCCCTGAGCATTGCCAAGTGTGACCCAAAAAGCAAAAAAGAAAAAAAAAATTACATAGGGAAGTCGGAGGGATATTACAGCAGAGAGGGCATTTGCCTTGCACAGGGCCCACCAAGGTTCAATTCCCGGCATCCTGTATGGTCCCCTGAGCACCGCCAGGAGTAACTCCTGAATGCAGAGCCAGGAGGAACCCATGAGCATCGCCAGATGTGATCCCATAAAGCTAAATCAAGGTCCTCCCGTTGTTCATCGATTTGCTCCAGCAGGCCCAGTAACGTCTCCATCATGAGACTTGTTGTTACAGTGTTTGGCATAGCGAATACGTCACGGGGAGCTTGCCAGGCTCTGCCGTGCGGGCGAGATACTCTGGGTAGCTTGCCGGGCTCTCCGAGAGGGGCGGAGGAATCGAACTCGGGTCGGTGATGTTGGCCGCTTGTAAGGCAAACGCCCTACCACTGTGCTATCGCTCCAGCCCAAAGCTAAATAATAAAACAAATAAATTAAAAAACATTTAAAATAGGTAATTCATGAAAATAAAAATGTTTCTGAAACTTCTTTCAGCAGTGATTTTTTTCTTATAGTGTATTTTTCTTCAAAAATACATTAATTTGGTCAAAAAGTAAGAAACAGGGCCAGAGTAGTGGATTGGGTGCTTGCCTTGCATGCAGTGTCAATCCCCAGCATCCTTTATGGTCCTAAGCACTGCCAGGAGAAATCCCTGAGCACAGAACGAGGAGTAAGCCCTGAGTGCTACAGACTATGGCTCCCAAATAAAACAAACAAAACAAACTCCATGGACAGAAGCTTTACCCTGACTTTCTCTTTTCATGAAATTTATTTCAGGAATTTAGATCACATAATTTGCATTTTTTTTTTTTGGACTCTGGACTCAAGGGAACCCGGAACAGAGATCCTCTGCCTGCTTCCCCCAGTCTCCAGTGACCCAGGGATCACACCCATAAGCCACACCCTGCCAGCACCAGATCCTCATCGGCCACCCACCAGAACTCATGGATGCTCCTCCCAGACAGGAGTATAAAAGGAGGCTCCAGAACCATGCCACTGGACTCCACACCAGGCTGTGGGGCGGGTGAGAGCCCTCCCCACCCCAAGGGAATCAGCCCCAGCAGCCGACCTCCACTGCCCAACCACCGCCACACTCCAGGCCACTTTCCAGACTGCAAGGCCACTTCTCGGCCACGCATCACATTATAAGACATATCAAGACACTTCCTACCCATTTATGCCTCACAGAGAGCCCAGCAAGCTACCAAGAGTATCCCACTCGCACGGGCAGAGCCTGGCAAGCTCCCCGTGGTGTATTCGATATGCCAAATACAGTTACAACAATAGGTCTCATTCCCCTGACCCTGAAAGAGCCTCCAATCATTGGGAAAAGACAAGTAAAAAGAGGCTGCTAAAATCTCAGGGCTGGGAGTAATAGAGACATTACTGGTGCCCGCTCGAGTAATTCGATGATCAATGGGATGACAGTGATAAAAAGAATTTGCACTTTTTTAAACTAGGAAATCCCTCAAACAAATGGAAGTGTTTGTGTCATATTCTCTAGGATCCCCACTATTTCTGTATAGTTATGTCATAACAAGTAGCCTAGAAGCTTTCTATGAACAACACAAACACCAACTATTTGAGGCAAATTTCTCTCAAATACCTGGCAGGTATGATCAGTATCCAATCCATCCCAGAGACTCATAAACTGAGCTTTCATCATGGCTGTAGCTTCATGGTCAGAACTTGAACGATTTCGTAGAAAGGAGTCTAGAAGGAAAAGACCCTTAATCTTAGAAATTAATCATAAATATTTACTTGGTACAAAACTTATCAGTTTAAAAAAAAAAAGCTGACAGGGCTGGAGCAATAGCACAGCAGGTAGGGCATTTGCCTTGCATGCGGCTGACCTGGGTTTGATTCCCAGCATCCCATATGGTCCCCCAAGCACTGCCAGGAGTGATTCCTGAGTGCAGAGCCAGGAATGACCCCTGAGCGTCGCTGGGTGTGACCCAAAAAAGAAAAAAAAAAAAAACCTCCAGGGGCTGGAGTGATAGCACAGCAGGTAGGGTGTTTGCCTTGCACACAGCTGACCCGGGTTCAATTCCCAGCATCCCATATGATCCCCTGAGCACTGCCAGGAGTAATTCCTGAGTGCAGAGCCAGGACTAACCCCTGTGCATTGCCAGGTGTGACCCAAAGCAAAAACAAAACAAAACAAAAAAACCCTCCAACATGGGATGTATAGAAATAACATGGAATACAAAGTAAGAAAAATAAATGCTTAACAGCACATTAGATATTACACTGTCACTGTCACTGTCCTCACGTTGTTCATTGATTTGCTCGAGTGGGCCCAGTAACATCTCCATTTTTGAGACTTGTTGTTACTGTGGCTGGCATATTGAATACTCTCGGCAGCTTGCTGGGCTCTCCGAAAGAGGCAGAGGAATCGAACCCGGCTCGGCTGGGCGGGCTGCACGCAAGGCAAACGGCCTACCACTGTGCTATCGCTCCAGCCCAGATATTAAAGGAAACTAATACATATTCATGAGTTGTAAGTTTTCTTAAAAAACTAATATAAATCTTCAATTTACAATGGGAGGATTACAATAAACCTAAGTTAATACTGTAAGCTGAAAATGTAACTTAATATGTATACATAACCTTCCTCACACCATAGTTTACCCTTATCTACCTAACTCTACTCAGAATACTTCCATTTTAGTCTACAGCTGGGCAAAATGACCTAATATAAACTCTATAATAAAATATTAAGTATTTCATGTAATCATTGAATAGTGAAAGTATACTTTCAAAATTCAAAGTACATTTATTTCAGAAAGCTTATTCTGTAAAATTTTTATTCGATCTTACCACGACAACTGAAAAACTCCTAAGCCGAACCATTACAATTCATCTGTATATAATTCCCAACCCAACCAAATGTGTTTGACCCCAGACTTTGATGGTTCCACTTCTACTTATGTACCTTGGACAGTAAGAGAAAACCACTCCATGGACAACCACTGCATACTGTTTATAAGAGGAAACAAAAACAATCAAGTAGGGAGGTTCATTCTACCACATAAAATTTACACACAGCAGATAAGGAGATCGGTTAAAATTGGTTAAAATCTCATTTTACTGGATTCAATACAATTTAAAAAATAAATATGATCATCTATACACCACCCTTTAAAAAGATTTTAAAATCTTCACACAGGGGCTGGATATTATGGGGGTGAGGCACTTGCCTTGCATGCAGCCAACTCAGGTTCGATCCCTGGCATCCCAGATAGTCCCCCACACAGCACCAGGAGTGTCTCCCTGAGTGCAGAGCTAGGAATAAGCCCGAGCACAGCCAAATATGGGCCCCCAAACAAAACAAAATTATAGCGACTACCAAAATGTTCACACAGTGCGCAAGGCATACCAATTTCATCTATGAAGATGATGGAGGGCTGCAGCTTTATGGCAAGGGAGAAAACCGCAGCGGCCAACTTCTGAGATTCTCCATACCACTTATCAGTCAGTGTGGAAGGCTGAAGGTTGATGAATCGACAACCTGCTTCTTTGGCCGTAGCCTTGGCAATCAAAGTTTTACCGCAGCCTGGTGGCCCATAGAGGAGAACACCTAGAAATTAAAGTGATATTTCATTTTCTAAGAAAATGAGACATTTTCTTTAGTTTATAAGACAATCAACATATTAACTCTCCCACAATAAAATTTTCCCCAATATAGGTTTGTGCTTTTATAAGAAAGATTAACCTTTATTATAGCAGAAAAACAAAGAAGGAATACTCAATTTTAGTAATGATATATATTTGGGATGTACCCCTCATCTTTCACAAAAAGATCCAGTTCAAAATACCAAAGACTATCATACTGCAATCCAAATTCACATCACTAAATCAAGAGTTAAAAAATAAACACGTCGTCTGGGCCTGAGCAGGCAGGACATTTGCCTTGCACATGGCTAATGCAGGTTCAATACCCAGAACCCCATATAGTCCCCCCCAAAACTGCCAGCAGTGATCCTTGAGCAGAGTCAAGTTAGCCGTAAGCACCACTAGGTGTGGTCCTCCTCCCCCCAAAAAAGAAAAAAACTTAAATAGAAATAAATGGCGGGGGGGGGGGGGGGGGGGGGGAACGGCGCAGAGCAATAACACAGTGGGTAGGGTTTTGCCTTGAATGTGGACAACCTGGGGTTCAGTCCCCAGCATCCCATACAGTCCCCTGAGCACGGCCAGGAGTAACTCTTCAGCTTCACAGGGTGTGACTCCCCCAAACAAAAAATAGTTAAGTCTAATGCCTCTACCTCCACAAGCTAGGAGCTCTTGCATAACAGCCTCAAGAAAATGACAGCTTCAAAACAGACAGAAGCACCATTATTTTAATATTGGGTAGAGCAGAGTTTCTCATGGTCCCCTTCCAACCGTGTTCCCTTCCTCTGGTACCCCGACATACTAGTCGGCCCCCTGTCTCATGCTATTTTCACCTCTGGCTGCCCTGGGGTATCCTTACAGACACATTTTAGCCAAAAGGACACATGTCTTTTTTCAAAGAGATAAAAGAAATATAAATTATCGCTCCTGCACTAATTTCCAAAAATTATAAGCTGTATTATCAACTTGAGTCTACACTGAAAGCAGTTTGCTGCTAAATACAATTTAAAGTTAAATCTTTTAATATATTAAGGGATTGCAAACGGCAGAAGACCTTCAACAATTTGGAGTCATCACCATTTTCCAAATAAAATGATTCACAACATTTTAATAGTAATATTAATATTTTTATGACCATGACATTGGCCATAAAAATTATTACCTAAGGAAACTATCTCAACCCAAAAATAAAACAAGTAGGGAATGGTGCAACCGGTATTTCTTTTCTTTTATGGAGGGCTGATGTAGGAGGTAGGTTGGGGCATCCCCTGCAGTACTCAGGGGCTACTCTAATTTCCACACTTAAAAAGTTGTTCCTAGCCAAGCACAAGGAACCACGCAGTACCAGTATGTTCTAGTCCTCTAAGCTATCTCCCTGACCTTGCAACTGACTTTTTATACTCTACCTGTATGAGGTAAAAGGTAAGGTAAAGGCCCTCCCGTTGATCGTCGATTTGCTCAAGCGGGCCCAGTAACGTCTCCATTGGAGACTTTGTTGTTACTGTGTCTGGCATATCGAATACTCTCGGTAGCTTGCCGGGCTCTCCGAGAGGGGCGGAGGAATCGAACTCGGGTTGGCCATGTTGGCCGCTTGTAAGGCGAACGTCCTACCGCTGTGCTATCACTCTAGCCCCTGTATGAGAATATCTGATATATGTTGTCTGTCAAAAAGTCAATAATGATTTTTCAATTTTCATTCTTGACAAAAAAGCTTACCCAAACTGCAAAGCTAAAAAAAGGCTGGAATATTAAAATTCTAGATTATATAACAGGAGCTACTCATGTAATTTATAAAACAGTCAAAAATACAAGAAACCACCTTCAATTCTGGAAAATCCTTTCAAACAAGCAGATATTTTGTGTTGAAATTATCCCTCATGCCCTGCCACAGAGGCAGGGTGGGATGGGGAGGATGGGGGGGTGGGGGATACTGGGATCCGTGGTGGTGGGAAATGGGCACTGGTGGAGGGATGGGTATTTGATCACTGTATAACTAAAACCCAAGCACAAAAATTTGTAAGTCTACAACTGTACCTCATGATGTCTCACTAATAAAAATTTAAAAAAAAAAGAAATTATCCCTCATAATTTGGTATCTTCTATACTAACTGGGACTTTAAAACAAATCTACCTGGTAATTTAAGTCAATTACCTGGATGAGAAAAGCTTCCTCTAATACCATATCACTCCCCCACTTTCCTAAACTCACTAACACTGTTTAAAAGAGTAAAGCATGTAGAAAGTCTGTCCAACCTTCCTTTTTGTATTTTGTTTTTGCCATAACCAGTGGCACTCAGGACCTCTTCTGGCTCTAGAGATCACTCATAAAGGAGCCTTATTAAGAGACAATATGGAGAGGGGCTGGAGCAATAGCACAGCAGGTAGGGCGTTTGCCTTGCACGCAGCTGGCCCAGGTTCTATTCCCAGCATCCCATATGGTCCCCCGAGCACCACCAGGAGTGATTCCTGAGTGCAAAGCCAGGAGTAACCCTTGTGCATCACCAGGTGTGACCCAAAAAAAGCAAAAAAAAAAGAGAGAGAGAGAGACAATATGGGGGGCTGGAGCAATAGCACTGCAGGTAGGGCATTTGCCTTGCACGCGGCCAACCTGGGTTTGATTCCTCCGCCCCTCTCAGAGAGCCCGGCAAGCTACCGAGAGTATCTGGCCCACACGGCAGAGCCTGGCAAGCTCCCCATGGTGTATTTGATATGCCAAAAACAGTAACAAGTCTCACAGTGGAGACATTACTGATGCCTGCTCGAGCAAATCGATGAACAACGGGAGGACAGTGCTACAGTGCTATCTCTCTGATAAGGGGGTTAACATCAAGGATATACAAGGCACTGATTTAACTCTACAAGAAGAAAACATCCAATCCCATCAGAAAATGGGGCAATGAAATGAACAGAAACTTTCTTCAATAAGAAATCCCAATGGCCAAAAGGCACATGAAAAAAATGCTCTTCATCACTAAGCATCAGGGAGATGCAGATCAAAACAACAATGAGATATCATCTCACACCACAGTGACTGGCACACATCCAAAAGAATAAAAACAACCAGTGTTGGTGTGAATGTGGGGATAAAGGGTATCTCCTACACTGCTGATGGGAATGCCGACTGGTCCAGCCTTTTTGGAAACAACATGGACGTTTCTCAAAAAACTAGAAATTGAGTTCTCATTTGACCCAGCAAAACCACTTCTGGGAATATATCCCAGAGATGCAAAAAAGTACAATAGAAATGACATCTGCACTTGTATGTTTATTGCAGCACTTTTTACAATAGCCAGAATCTGGAAAAATCCTGAGTGCCGGACAACAGATGATTGGTTCTTCAAGAAACTTTAGGATATCTAGACGATGGAATACTATGCAGAAAAGATGAAACCATGAAATTTGTTTATAAGTGGATCAACATGGAGAGTATCATGCTAAATGAAATGAGTCAAATGAGATGGACACAGAATAACCACACTCACTTGCGGAATATAAAGTAACATAATTGGAGAATAAACCTAAGGATAGCAGAGATAAGGCCAAGAGGATCACTCCACAGCTCAGAAGCCAATCTCAGTGCTGGGGGAAAAGGCAGGTGGGATGAGAAGAGACCACTAAGCAAATGTTGGTTGGAGGGCTCGCTCGAGATGGTAATGAAAGCTCAAAGTAGACTATGGGCCAAACATGATACCCGCTTAGTACCTATATTGTAAACCATAACACCCAAAAGGAGAGAAAGAGAATAAGAGGGAATGTGTCTGCCACAGAGACAGGTGTTGGGAAGAGGTGGAGGTGGCGGGAGGGATACTAGGAACACTGGTGGTGGAAAATGAGCACCGGTGGAGGGTTGGGTATCGAACATTGTTTTACTGAAACATAATCACAAAAGTTTGTAGATCTGTAACTGTATCTCATGGTGACTCATCAAACTAAAAAATTTTTAAAAATCATTTGAAATTTTCTTTGAGGAAAAAAAGTAACAATAAACACAAAAGAAAAAGAAAAAGAAACTGCTTTGTGGGTGAGGTACTTTTCCTGCACATGACTGACCAGGGCTTGTTGCCAGGCACTGCAGATGGTCCCCAGAGCCCTGCCAGAAGTGCGCACAGAGCTGGAGGTAGGCCCTTAGCATAACCAATTGTGTGCTCTCACCCCAACTTCCCCCCAAAAGAGAAAGAACTATTATCTATAAAACGGTTCACTGAACTCAGCACTCTAGGGAATCGAATTTCAAACACACCAGCCCTACACTGTGTCCTATCATACTTTGTTCAGTTCTGGGCACCACATCGTCCCCCGAACACTGTCCAGAGCCACTCCCAAGCAGAGACAAGAGGAGACCCAAAGCACCACAGGATATGGTCACAAAATACCAATCCTATAATAGGAGAATATTTCAATGTCTTCTAGATTTTTTGTACTTTTAATAAACATAAATTTGGGAGATGGAGAAATGGTGCAAGAAGAAGGGCAATTGCCCGCGGCCATAATGGCCACCAATTCTGGTTTGAATCCCCACACCTGGATCTTATGAACCCCATCACCAAAAGGGGTCACTTCTGAGCCATCAGAACAGCCTATGAGCACTGCTGGAGGTGGCCCTAAATGCCCCGGATTTTAAATAATTAAATAAGGTAAAGGTAAAAAGGTAAAGGCCCTCCCGTTGATCATCGATTTGCTCGAGCGGGCCCAGTAACGTCTCCATTGGAGACTTTGTTGTTACTGTGTCTGGCACATCAAATACTCTCGGTAGCTTGCCGGGCTCTCCGAGAGGGGCGGAGGAATTGAACTCGGGTCGGCCATGTTGGCTGCATGCAAGGCAAACACCCTACCCGCTGTTAAATAAATAAAAGTAAAGTAAATAAAAACCTTACCACACCTTTTGGAGGCTGAAGAAGCCTGGAATTTTCAAACAAGTGCTTCTTTTTAATAGGCAAGATGACTGTGTCTTTCAGATCTGTAATGACATCATCTAAACCTGCAATATCACTCCAAGTAACCTGGTAAAAGGCAACAATAGCAACACACATTTACAGTAAATACTCACACACAAAAAAATACCCCACACCCTCCACAATTGACACTTTAATCTCATTATATAAAAATTTATAATGTGTTCTTTTGTAATATGATACACAGTGAGTAGATTTGAATGGTGATGATAAAACAGTTAAGTTTAAGGACCAGAGATATAATACAGATAGTAGGGCACTAGCCTTATAAGTAGCTGACCCAGGAACGATCTAGCTCTTGACAAACTGCTAGGAGGAAAAAAAAAAAACTTTAATAAGATCAGAATAGAGTGTATACATACATGCATGTTAAGAGGGTCTACTAGATGGGCCGCAATACTCATCTCATATTCTGAAAGCTTCACATTTTTCACACCAATTTGCTTCATTAATTTTTCTGCCTAGGAAAGTAAAATAAACAATAAAATGCTTCTAGTTTGATATTTCGATGTTGGAACTTCCAAACTGTTACCCCTAAAAACTATACTAATTGGTGAACAGACATCTAAGGATTTTTCCAGGGATATTCTAGGCCTTTAGATTTCATCTTCCACAGTTTCAGTTTTTTAGGTATCTTGCTACTTCAAATGGTGCTTCTTTTTATGTTTGTTTGTTTGTTTGTTTGTTTCCCATTGCAGTGCTGAGGTCTGAACCCAAGGCCTACCACAGAGTAACATTCCTGGTCCCCAAATGCTTTCTTTTCCTTTTATGGAAATCTTAATATTTATTGGACTAGTAGTTTAGTGGAGATAAATTCCTTTAGCTGTCAGAAAAGCTCTTTATTCCTCCTTCAAAACTAAACTATAATCTAGCTGGTTATAATAACAGTCTTGATTAGCAGTCTTTTACACTCTGGACTTTGTACTATACACTTTCTTTTATAGAGTATAGCTTCTGAAGCAACATTCCCCTGATAGTCTTATGTCTCTTGATAGTGTTACAAGTAGTCTATGTGTTTGGGGTTTTGGTTTGTTTTGCTTTGCTCCTAATTTTAAATTTTTTGGAGGACCACACCCAGTAGTGCTTGAGACTCACTCACAATTGTACTCAAGGAACCATGTGGTACTGGGGATAAAACCTGGGGCTGTAGCATATGAAGCATGTGCTCTTGCTCTTGCCCTTGGCATCTTCTCCCCAGCCCACTATCTTTATTAGTTGTTTGGATTTCATTAATTTCAGACTATTTGAATCAGGGTGGATTTGGGTGGCTTCCTTCATCTGGGTGCCTAATTCCTTTTCAACCTGGAATTCTCTGATTATTTCTCAAACATATACTGTGAACCATTCTCTCTTTTCTCCATCTTATGAGGCAAATGTTACTCCTCTTGATACAGTTCCAATAAAGTCCCTATGTGAACTTCATTGTTTCCAATTCCTTCTTTTCACTGGTGTTTTTGGGTTTTTGGATGCTTACCTGTAGGATAGATAATATTGGTTTGTCTTTCTCCCTTGCCACAGGGAGCTTAGTTTTATAGGGTAACACCCATCACTGTGCTCCCAAGCCACTACCATTCCTTTGCTTATCTGTAACTTCTCTGTGCTCAACCAATCACCTTTTCCCCCTAATAAGACTCTGTTAACTTCTAATATCAGATATTCTTAAGGACACTTGATGTGTATTCATGAGTGATATATTGCCTTTCTCCTCTCCTTATATCTCTTGCATGGTTGACTTTAAAGCAATGTCCTTTTGTATAGACACAGGAAGATAGTTAATATTATGCTTTTGGAACTTGGGAGTTAACTGACTCTGAATAATATTCACTCCCAGGCATCTGCTTTCTCAGCTTAAGCCTCAGTTGCCCTTAGTTCCTAGCACTTCAAAAGCAGGGTCCCGACAAGGGACTGAATGGACCCAGGGCAAGCGGCGAGCTATCCTGGAATCAAAATGGGCTAGGCCAAAGTGCCACAATACTTAACTATAAGAGTGTGGTCATGGACAAATTCTGTCATGATCCAAAAAGTAAAGATGAAATTAGGACCATGCTAGGGTTAGGAAAGACTAGTCTGGGCTGGAACGATAACACAGCGGGTAGGGCATTTGCCTTGTACACAGCCAACCAGGTCGGCCCAGGGTCGATTCCTCCGCCCCTCTCCGAGAGCCCGGCAAACTACTAAGCGTATTGCACCTGCATGGCAAAGCCTGGTAAGCTACCCGTGACGTAGGCGATATGCCAAACACAGTAACAAGTCTCACAATGGAGACGTTACTGAGCCCGATCAAGCAAATCGATGAACAACAGGAGGACAGTGCTAGAGTGCTACAATCTGGTCTGAGCACTGTAGTTTGAGATCTATAGCAAGATGGCCCCAGGAGAGCAATCCTATAAACTTAATGTATCTCTTACTGTATCTCATATGTAATGATTTGTGTTATGAATGTTTATATGTTTGCTGGACAAGGAGAGGAGAAACACACCCGTAAAATTCTGCTCTTGGGTGGCTCTTGGATGGGTCGTCCTGCAGAATGAGAATCTGTCCTAGAAGCAGCTTCCCTTGAGGGAAGGAAGTTACCTCTGTTGATTGTACGACCATACCTATGAGTAAGCCCCAACCCCTCATGCTTTGGGATTTAACTAAGGTTATAAGAGTGGGCTGGGGAAAAGAGAAGGACCCAAGGAGAGGCAGAAGCAGAAGGAGAAGTACGACGGAGCAGGATCCTACCTAGAGGAGGATGAGAAGTATAGGGGAAGGGGAAGATCAGGTGGAGAATAAGGAAGAAGCAGGAGAATCAGGAGAATGGAGATGAGATTGGAATAAACTGCAACTGATACCAACCAGCCTGACCCTCATTCCTTCCTTCGTCTACCCACCGGCCACCCCAGGGCGGGGGAACCTTCGAGAGACCACTGAACACAGGCTCTGAGAGAGAGCCACGTGGCTTTTCATAATTTATTTTTTGAATACACACTTAGCTCTAATTCAATTTTTAGCTTCTTCCATTTTGCTGTTGAGCCCATCTATTACATTTTCCCCCCAGTACAGTCACACATTCTTTAGTGCTACATTTTGTTTGAACCTTTCTCATACTTTTCTGTCTCATGCTGGAAACTTCCACTGCACCCTTCATTTCACTGAGCCATCGAGAGGATGGAGCTTCATTTGAAGTCCAAGTATCTTGCATAGCTTTTGCTGTACTAGGGGTTCACTCCAGTGTGTTATCACATCAGGTAGCTTGCACAGCTGATGTACTGGTAATTTTCTCCAGACTACTGTCTTGATTCATCCATGTGATGAGTCCCTCCATCTTCCTATTATGTCTAGTGCTACTGGGAGTAACGGGCTTATACTCAGCTCTCAACAATGGCTGGGTTCTGCAGTTGTGAATGACTGTGATGATAAGGCCGCTTAGATCTGGGAGGGTGGCATTGACAAGGGATTCACAGTCACAAGTGCCTGACCACAACCATGGCACCAAACTAGAGGAAGGAAGCTTGGGAATTTGCTGGGATTTGCAGTCTTGAATAGCTGCCACTGGCTCTACTGCCAAAATTAAGCAGACATCTGGCAGTGAGTTTTGCATTCATAAGTGCCAGGCTGCTAGTTTGGGATCAATCTTGCAGACCTGGGTGGCTACCTGAGTAGTTCATGCTCAAGGGGCTATGAGAGCTGGCTGAGACCTCAGCCCTAGCTACCAGCACAGCAAACACTCAAGGACTGCCAGTAAACAGTCAAGCTCACCAATAACCAAAGGATGTTTTCCTTTATTTACAAATTATCTAGAAATGTTTCCCACTTTCCAAACTCATTTCTTTTCCTCTCTCTCTTTTTTTTTTGGGGGGGGGGGGGGGTGGGTGGGCTTGGAACACACCCGGTGGTGCTCAGTCAGACTTACTCCTAGCTAGGAATAACTCTTGGCTGTGCTTGGGAAAACCTTATGTGGTGCCATAGAATGAACACAGGTTGGTCAAGTGTGAGGCAAGCACAGTATCCTCTGTACTAACTCTCTGACCCCATTACTGGCTATTTCTAATGCTGCACTGTAGACTGGAAATAGATAATTATTATTCTACCAGTATTATAAAATTTGAAACTTGTGGGGCTAGAGCAATAGCACATCAGGTATGGAGTTTGCCTTACACGCGGCCGACCCGGGTTCGATTCCCAGCATCCCATACCGTCCCCTAAGCACCGCCAGAGGTAATTCCTGAGTACAGAGCCAGGAGTAAACCCTGAGCATCGCCAGGTGTGACCCAAAAACAAACAAAAAAAAAAATTAAAACTTGTTTTAGCATCTGGTACAATTTCATAAGTATCATTCATGTGCTTGTGGTTGTGATATGCACTCTCATTTTGGGGTTACATTATATTATAAATTCCACAAGAGTAAACTTTGCTGAATGTTTTTATCTTCTATATCCTTACTAATTTTCTTTTTAAGTGCTCCATGCATGCATTGAAACAAGTGCACCATGGCCCCAAGTTCACCAGGAGTGATCCCTGAGATTGCCGGGTGTGGCCCAAAAACCTATTTTATAAAAATATTCCATGGGACCAGAGACCTAGCTCAAAGGGCTGAGCATATGCTCTGCACATGCATATGGGTCCCTGAGCACAGCCAGGTATCTCTGGAGGCCCCAGTACTGCCAGGTCGTAAGCATTCTAAAGCATCACCTGGTACAGCCCCTCCTCACCAAAGAAACACTGGGAGTGGTCCTTATTTATCAAATAAAAAACATTTTTCATAGGGGGAAACTCATAAATACTCATCTACACAGGAATAACCCTGGGCTTTATTTCCATCCCAGTGAAACACATAGCTCTAATAAGTACTATTTATGAGAATATGATAAAGGATCTCTAAGTACAGACCTTTATTTGAGATTTGGACGCAAAATTTCATTTAAAAATGTCCACAACTAGATGAGCATTTTTTCATAGATTTCTACCACTAACACAATCTCAGTATGACCAAATCAGGAGTAGATGATGGAGGATACTGAAGAGAGAGACTAAAAGTAACATAGGGACAATGGTGAAGGATCTTGGATACCTTGGGGGTGATGAGGTGCATCAAAACCCCAAACAGAGAGATAGTCCAACAGGTTGAGCATAAAGTCCAGGATACCACCTCACAATCTCCCTCATCCCTAGCACTGCCAGAAGCAAACCCTGAGCACAGAGCTGGAATAGATCCTGAGCAATACTAGGTTCACGCCCCCCCCCCCAAAAAAAAAACACCTTTTAAACACTATATAAATGCAAAATTTTAATTATAAAAAATATAAAGGCTAAACTATTATATCCTATACACTTTTTCCACCTACCAGATTCTAAGCGCACACGCACACACACGCAACACGCACACACACCAGACAATTTCTTTGAAAACATCAGGCAATTCTTGGGTTCATTTGTAATACGTCCTTTCATTTTCCCTATAACATCACAAAGTATTTCTAAGCATTTGTTCTTATTCATGTATTTCACCCATTTCGGGACTTTCCCCCCTAGACTCTACATAATTACTAGGACTACCGCTGTCTATCAGCAGCAGATCTTGCTGACTTTCCCTGATTCCAATTTCTCCTATTTCTGATTCTGTGTACTCAGGGGATCGTATGTGATGCCAGGAATTTAAACTGGGGTCAACCACATGGCTGGTCCCCTTAACATACTGCTTTGCACAGCATCCACATAATCAAAAATCTTTTAAGATTTTTGTTTATACAGAAAATTACTGTTTATATAGAAAATTTCTAATAAAACAACAGCATATTTCAATAGTTGGCAAGGGAGGGAAAGAAGGGGTGAGAGAGGAGTAACAGAAAGACAGTGGAGGCTAAACCAAAACCATTTGTACTTCTCAACTTCTGAAAAGCTGTGGCATTTATGAGCTTGTATTCACCCACCCAAAAAATTACAAGGACAGGGTAAGAAAAAAGTACAGCTCTATTACCAACTTCATACTAATAGAGTCCCTTATCTTTACTTCCATAGCTTTCTCTCCAAGTTTTCCTAAAATTACATGAACCTTCTACTCCAACTAAACCAGTTTACTTTCTGTTCCTTTAACAGAGCTTGTCATCCAAACGCCATTACGGTTCTCTTTGTAATTATCTTTCTATATGAAACTATGAATCTTCTCGAGGTCAATCTCTTTCACAAAGCCATCCACAACTGCCTCATTCACTGACAGATGAGTATGACTACTGATACAGACAAAAGTACCTTTTTCTAAATGTCACAGTTCATCTATAGTGCTCACTAGGACGAGCTACTTAAACCTACAGTTAACATGAACATGCACAAGGCTTTTCTCCCTACACATAAGAACTATTCATACCACACTACGAGAACAGATCCTGGGTCTAATATTTCATATTCCAGATACTTAGAACATATGTACAGATTTCAATAAAGCCTTTTAAACACTGTTTTCAATAAAGCCTTAAACGTGGTATTTAATAGATATTTCTTTGGCTTCCTATATGTCTGCATACCTGAAAACTATACCAAGTCAAGAAAATTGATGACAAAATTCTTTGTTTAAAAGATACTTTGGGGGTTGGAGTCATAGAATAGCAGGGAGGGCACTTGCCTTGCATGCAGCCAACCCAGGTTCCATCCCCAGTATCCTATATGGTCCCCCAACCCCAACCAGGAATGATTCCTGAGTGCAGAGCTAGGAGTAACCCCTAAGTACCACCAGCTGTGGTATGACCAAAAATTACCTTGGCCACAAAGATAGTACAAGGAGAAAATGTGCATGTTTTTACATGTAGGAGGCTAGAAATCATACCACCTGGCCCCCTAAGCACTGCCAAGTATTCCCCAAAAAATTTAAAAACAATAGGGATAAAGTGATAGTTCAATGGTTCTTGTTTGCAGGAAGTCCAGGTTTGATTCCTGGCACTTAATCGGTCCTTGAGCACTGCCGTGAAGACCCACAAGTCAGGAGTGGAACGAGGAAAGGCTGGAGTTTGTCCCAAAAACAAAATTTAAAAAACTTTTAATGAAAGGGGCTGGAGAGACAGGAGAGGGGCTAAGGTGCATGCCTCACAGCAACTGACCTGGATTCTACCTCCAGCACTGCACATGATCCCCCAGCACCAACTGCAATGACCCCTGAGCTCAGAGTTACAAGGCAGGTCTGAACACCACAGGGTGTGGCCCAAAACCCAAATCTCCAAAAATGGAGCCAGAAAAATCGGTAGAGATAGGTAAGGAGGTAAGGCATGCAGATGCGGTGGTCACCAGCAAGAACTGGGTTTGGCCCAATCTCAAAAAAAAAAAATGCTCTAAAAGTGGTATGACATCAACGTTTTGACCACAAACTGGATTTTTATAATTCAAGGAAGTAATGAATGCTGCTTTTAGATTGACACATGGATATACCCAAATAAGCTAAACAAAACTAAATATCTATACTGATCCAGTTTCCTATTCACCAACTGACTGATGAAGTAATATAGACCTTGAGTCAACTACTTCACAATCAAATTCATGAGAACTTATATACATCTCAATTGCTTTTCAGATAGATACAGAAAACAATATTCATAAAACTTGGGTCTTGGATGTAAGAGCTGTGGATAGTCATTTATTCATATAAATTTTCCCTGCTATGCTACTGCATTTTGAAATAACACATTTCATCCCTGTTGCCAAGCATTTACTAATAACTCAATAAATTACTACTATCAAAATCATAACTCACAGAAATCTGAGTCTATGAACCTTATGTAATATAAGTTGTCCTTAAGACATTGAAAAAAAAAAGAGACTCCCTTTAAGCACACTTCCTTTTTGAGAAAGATTAGAAACTGAAACATATAGATCATCTTAGTAAGGAAATGATGAGAGGCTATGGTTAAAAAGAATAAAAATTAAAAATAAAAACTGTAACATATAAGAGATAATATTTTAAAGCAATTCCTTAATTAGAGTGTTTTCTAATTCTAAGGAGTGAAAATTGTATTATGTATATTTTTACCAATACTTATAACAGAAGATAGCTTTCAGTCCTTTGAAAACTTCAGAGTGCTTCAAATAATATTCTTCAAAAATATTCTAATGAGGATGCTTTACACAAAAATTTTGTGATTTTTCTTTTTTTCCCTACTAGCTTGTAGAGTTAAAAAGGATTTAAATAAATATTTTAAGAATTATACTAAATATGATAGTTTCGTTTGGGTTTTGTAGAACTCATTAATTTATAATTCTACCATATTGTTTTATTTTTTTTTTTAAAAAAAGATCTAACTATAAGAAAATGATTCTCAAACATTTAACATTGTAATCATACCTGTTTCTGAGCTTCTACTTTTTGCTTTCTGGTTGGATCAATTGCATCTACCATCCACTTGATTGTAAAGTATGTTACTGCACCAAATATTGTCAAACGAAAAATTAAACCAACAACTTCATTCCGACTCAAAGGACGAGAAAAGGCTTCAGCATGTACCATCTTGATTGTTAACCTTAAAAAACAAACAGAAATGTCACTAGGTAATAACAAAATTGCTGGTAAGTAGCTGAAACAAAGGAAATTAACTTCTAGTCAAATTTAACATTAGCTACCTCTAAAATGTCTTATGGAGAAATAGGCTTTTCTTATTCTTATTCCCTTCCCTTTCCTTTGTGGAGCTACTCAACGAGTCATAAACTTAATTGTGCTTGCCCACTTGGTTGCAGTGCTTGCCAGGGTCACACACTTGGTTGTGATGTCCTGGAGATCATTCACTTGTGCCACTGGGATTGCAGTTGGTATATGGTTTCAAATTCTCAGTCTCAAGCCTGCAATGCAGGCAAGCTAACGGTAGCGGTCTAGAAACATGCATTTTTTTAAGCCAACACATTTTAAGCTCCCCCTTAGAAACTGATATGTATCACCATTTTTTAATCAAATGTCCTAAAAGCTCATATGATTTAAGAAAGTAATTCTATTTTAAGAATTCAGTAAACAACTAATGGTCAATCTGAACCAGAGAGGCGAGGGCATCAGCAGCTTGCTGGCGCCTTCAGACTTCCAGATACCCCAAAATTGCTTCTGTGCCTTTGGCCAGACCCCAAAAACATGGGGCAAAGTTTACCAAGAAAGTAAACGGCCAAAAGTTAGGTATGTGAGAGACACACCCACAAACCACCTCCAGCTCCGCTATATAATTGGAGGCATGGCCTCTCTGGTTCCTGATCAAACTGCTTAACAACCATGATCCCAGAGACTCAGAAACAAATCTAGGGGCCACAACCAATTGTGCAGCGGGTATGGTGCTTGCAGGCTCAATCCCCAGGATCCCACATGATCCCCTGAGACCACCAGGAGTTATTTCTGAGTGCAGAGCCAGGAATAAGCCCTGAGCACCACTGGGTGTGGCGCCCCTAGCCCCTCCAAAAAGGCAGCTTAACAATGAAATGACAGGAAGAATTTCTTCCAAGGGGCAAAGAGGAGATAGTTCAACAGGCTGAGGATACGCTTTGTACACAGGACGCCAGGGTTCCATGCCCCAGACCACCTGGTCCGCTGAGCACCACCAGATGGAAACTCCAAGTACTACCAGGTATGGATCCAGAACAAAACAAAACAAAACAAAAATGGAACTTCTTCTGCGGGCTCAATCGGTGGGAGGCACATTCTTTGCCTACTTTCAATCCCTGGCACCTCATGTTCCCCCGAGAAGGCCAGAAGGGTAAGCACAGAGCCCACGAGCACCCTGGGCTATGTCCTTCCCCCCCCAATTTTTAAAAGAATTTCTGCTAAGTAGAATAATTTTTACAATAATTTTTTAGTGAAATTCAAACATGAATTGACTTATATTTCAAACACTTTATCAATTAGTGACATTAAATTCTGGGGCCATGCTACTGCTTCAAACCACCAAACAAAAGTGGGGGAGAGAAGGGAAACTAAAACAAAAATTCAGTCAAGAATATAGCACTCAGCCCAAAAAGAAAACAAGTGGCACCATGCTTACTTTTTTACTTATATCCCTGAGCAGCTACCTCAATCCCAGCTACGATAATGGAAAGCACACATTCCCTTGCTGAAAGGCAATAACTACCCAGAAGAATAAGCAAGTGGGGAATGATGTGACCATTACAGTTTGGAAGGTAATAAATGCTTTAAATAACTCTATTATACTCTTCATGGCATAGGACTATAATAAGACAAATGTGTGGCCTTTGCACATATGTAAAAAGGAATTTATACAGATTAATCTGCAGTGTTGAAAATTAGGCACTAATCACAGATTAATATTGAACGTTCTTGGGGCTGGAGCAATAGCACAGCGGGTAGGGTGTTTGCCTTGCACGCAGCCAACATGGCCGACCCGGGTTCAATTCCCAGCATCCTATATGGTCCCCCAAGCACCGCCAGGAGTGATTCCTGAGTGCATGAGCCAGGAGTAACCCCTGAGCATCGCCAGGTGTGACCCAAAAAAAAAGTTGAACGTCCTTACAATTCTAAACTTGTATGCTAGAGAAGGGAGATAGCTAAAAGAGTTTGGACACATGGTTTTGCATACAGGCACACCGGGGTCATTTCCTGGGTTCAATCCCTTGGCACTACAGTCTCCTGAACAGTTAGAAGTGACCCCGGAGGAGTGGCATGGAGAACCTCAGAGTGTGGCTCAGAACCAACAAAATCAAAATTCTTTCACTACTACTTCTTTTCTTTTATTGGATGGGGGCACATCTGAGGGTGCTCAGGCATCATGTCTGGCAGTGCTCAGGGGACCACATGGGTGTTGGGGATTAAAGCCGGGTTGGCCACATGCAAGGCCACAAGCAGTGTACACCCTATACACTGTACTATCACACCAGGTCCCATGTTTCACTGACACTTGTTCAAGTTCCTCTTTACCTCCAGAATAGCTCACAGCAATTTTTAAAATCCTTTAAGATACCTTGACCTCCATTAAAGAATCTGTTCTGGGTCAGAGAGATAGTAAGAGGCTTGCCTTGCACACAGACAATCCCTAGTTCAATCCCCAACAATTATGGGCCCCCAAGTACCACCAGGAATGACTCCCTAGATCAGAGTCATGAGTAGCCCTTGAGTACTGCTAGGTGGGTGTGCACAATCCACCCCCCCCACAAAAAATCTGTTTCTCCCAAACAGAAGTTCCCCCCAAAACTTTCCCTTTTATGGGATTCCAAAGCATTAAAGACTCCTAATCTAAACCGAATGTGTAATTCTTAAGCACTTTCCTTCTCATCATTTTTTAACAGAACCTTTCAATAGTTGGAGTCCATGTCATCTCAAACTGTCACATGCTATTTTTCCTCTAGCATATCTTTCTGGTACCTTGGAAATATCTTGGCTCAAGTAAATCAAAATGTGCTTTCTTCTATTAGTATTCCTGAAAACAGGTCTACAATACTTCACTCCTAACAGGAAGTAAAAAACTGTCTTCTTTGGTCAATAATATTCCAAGAAAGTTAATTTGAAAATGCCACTAGAATATGTGGCATGATTCTGCTGGGGCCTCATCTGTAGGCGAAAATAAACCAATAGGCAAAATCGAGCTCATTAACAATCTGTAGAAACTAGGAATATTTCAATGAAACATTTTCTTTTAGTCTGTTAGAATTATAAGATTGCCATCTACTGGCTGTTCACTGAACTACAAGCACTAGTGCTGTTAGGAAGATCTACATTCTATATAATTAAGTTAATCAATATAATTAACTTCTAAAGTTACAAAAATATTGACACAAAAACCTCTTTATATAACTCTTTTGTTGTTTCTTTTAATTTTTATTAAGACACCAGTGATTTACAAAGTTGTTCATAGTAGAACTGTTTCAGGCAAACAATGTACTAACACTGTTCACCACCAATGTCCCCTTCCCTCCACCAATGTCCCCATGTTCTCTCCCAATCTTCAGACTGCCCCCGATGGCAGCCATATAAATAATTTATTTCATATTTCTTGATTCAAAAAACTTAAACGGAAAATGGAATTATAAAAAATGATCAACAAAAGTCAACTTGTGTTAATTGACTGCAATATGATTTTAACCTATGGAAATAAAGAAATTAAAATAATTTAATTCAATATAACATATTGCCTATTGTCGTTTACATAACTAAGATTTCAACTCTGGCATATAAAATATATTGCATAAAATTTTTAATTATAAACTTAATTATGTGGTACACTGGAAGGTAATTCATTATTTATTTGAACATTTCTTTATATAACTTCTTATACTTAAATTATTAATTGCAGCAACAGTCCTCCAGATCTAAGGTCACTCCTAACACCATAGTCCACATTTTGGTAAATTGATTCAAAATCCTAAAATGAAACTGAAACTTGAAACTTGTAGGTTTCGCCCGTGTACTCTGGGATTACATTCATCTATCATTCATACGATATTAATATAACAATGTTAAGAGGTTACTGCTAACACCAAGACAGCACAATATAAAATTAAAGTACCATGAGCTAGCATACTCTCCTAAGGGCTTTCGATCTTGCCGAAACATTAAGATCAATTAAGTGAATGCCTACATATGCAAAAAATATGTACATACAACTCAGAAATAGACCCCCCAAAAAGAAAAGCCAGAATTATCTAACACGCAAGGAAGAGACTCTTTTCGTCTGCAAAAGAGTTCATTTTAGGGGAGGAGGGGAACTTTGGTGAGACGCGATCCCCCCAGCAACCAACGAGCCGACCCGCGGACACGAAGAGCCCGTGCGCATACTCGAGGATTTCTCTAATTCACTACAGTGTGGCACAAAGTTATTTGCGGGCCACAAGCGCCCGTTTTGCAGCCACCAAGGCCCTGGGAACACAAGTGTGTGACTGAAAAAAAAAAGGACTTTAAAGCCTGCCAGCCTTCACAGCGGAGAGGTCACCGCCTACATCACCGTCTCCCGCCGGAGCGGGCCGGGCCCCTCCTCCGCCTCCTGCACCAGGTGGGTGCCAGGCGCGTGCAACAATGAGGTCGGGCGCGCCGGGGCCGCCTCCACCCCGCGGCCCGGCTCGGACAGCGCCGGGGCCGGCCGCCGCCGGCGCCGAGAGGTTGCAGCCGCCCCAGGGACTCCTCCGGAAACGGCAGGACACTCGGGGGGCAGCGCCGGCCGACCCCTGGGGACCGCGAGCCGCCCCGGGCAGAGTCAAGGCCCGGACGCCCTTGGAGGTTGATCCGCGGGATACCCAGGGCTGCGAGGAACCCGGGGGCCGGGGGACAGTGAGGGGGCGACACTGGGCTGGCACGCCAGGAGGCAGCGAGGCGACCCTCTCCGGCTCGGCTGCCCGGATCCCGGCCGGTTCCGAGAAGGAGCTCAGCGGGAACCCTGAAAACCGGCCCACGAGGCCCCGCCGAAAGCCGCTACTCACCCCGAGCAGGAAAGCAGCAGCGGAGCGGCCCGAGCCCGGCTCACCCAGGAAGGGAAAGCCCCCGCCGAGAGAACGCTTCCGGCGGGCACTAGGCCCCGCCCCCGCGCTCCGAGCATGCGCGCCCGCGGCCCGCCGCCGGCAGCAGCGCGTTTCCGGGTTTGACGGCGGAGGCAGCGGCCCAGGCGGCGGCGGCGTTGAGTTGCGCACGCTCCACTGGCAAGCTGCCGGCGGAGGCTCGCCCGAGGCTGCCGCAGCAAACTGCCTACCCCTGTGCTATCTCTCCGGCCTCCCCAAAGCGCTGATCTTTTTCCTTTTTTTTTTTTTCCGCTTTTTGGGTCACACCTGGCGATGCACAGGGGTTACTCCTGGCTCTGCATTCAGGAACTACCCCTAGCGGTGCTCAGGGGACCCTATGGGATGCAGGGAATCGAACCCAGGTTGGCCGAGTGCAAGGCAAACGCCCCATCCACTGTGCTATTGCTCCAGCCCCCTTTCTTTCTTTCTTTCCTTCTTCCTTCCTTCCTTTCTTTCTTTCTTTCTTTTTCTTTCTTTCTTTTTTCCTTTCTTTTTCTTTCTTATTTGTCTTTGCCCTGTGTGCCAGCTCCGACAAATCCGGAGTGTTCTGCAGAGCGTGAAGAGGTGCTCTCTCTGGGTCTCTTGCAAAGACACGCCTCTCTGATTTCTGCACCCTTGCCTCTCCCCTTGCCGGGTCTCCGGGCAGCAAGTCATTAGCTAGATTCGCGTGGCCACCCCTCACCCCGCTCCAACTGCCTTTTCAGTTTCTAGGATGAGCTCATCACCTCCGCCCCTACGCTGACTAGTTGAGGGTGGTACCTGCAAATCTTGGCCAGCCCACCTAGACCTGCTGACGGTTGAGACAGAAAAGGGCCTCTGGTGGCAGGTTTTGCATATCGGTGACTTCCCCTTTTTAGTACCCCGTTCCCTTTTCTTCAATGAGAGAGGTGACACTGGGGCCCCAAGGGAGTGAACCTGAAAGTCAGTGCCTCTTGCACACAGATTGAGAGCAGGCATGAGGCTCCACACTGGACCCCGAGAGAAAGAGTATTGCTTCATTCAGAGGAGACTGGAGCAACCACACGTTTCCTCTAGGGTTTTCCTTTTCTTACCCTCCATGGGAGGCACTTGGTCCCTCTCAGCTTTTAGGAAGGTCTCAGTTGACTGCAGCCTAATTGTTGGGCAGGGCGAATGCTACTGTTGCTACAGACATGTCTTACTGTGGTGAGGACAAGAGCTACAATTTGTAGTCTACTAGCAGTCAGGAAGTATACTTGTTATGTTTCTTGATGACCGTAATGTAAATTTCTCCTGGGGCTGGGAGTCCTCTAAAATAGCCATTATCAGGGGACCGGAGAGATAGTGCAGCGGGTAGGGCGTTTGCCTTGCACGCGGCCCACCCGGGTTCAATCCCTGGCATCCCATATGGCCCCCCAAGCACTGCCAGGAGTAATTCCTGAGTGCAGAACCAGGAAAAAAACCTTGAGCATTGCTGGGTGGGGCCCAAAAAGCTGAATAAATAAGTAAAATAAAATAAAATAGCCATTATCAGGCTGGAGCGATTGTACAGCAGGTTGGGTGCTTGCCTTGCACAGGTCCTACCAGAGGGTCTGCCCCAGTCACCCAATATGGTCCCCCTAGCCCACCACGATTGGTTCCTGAGCACAGAGCCAGCAGTAAGTCCTGAGCACTGCCCAATGTGGCCCCCAAACCAAATAAAATAGCTATTATCTTCTCTCTTTGTTGTCAGGTTTTGGTGTGTTTTGTTGTTATAAGCAAGAAAGTTTAAAACGCAGCTGGAGCAATAGTATAGTGGGTAGGGCGTTTGCCTTGCACGCAGCCCACCCGGGTTTGATTCCCAGCATCCCATAGGGTCCCCCTGAGCACCACCAGGGGTAATTCCTGAGTGCAGAGCCAGGAGTAACCCCTGTGCATCCCTGGGTGTGACCCAAAAAGCAAAAAAAGAAGAAAGTTTAAAACCCAGAGAAAGTTCATGTGCCTACAAAGTGGCCAAATTTTCCTGGATTCTGGATCTAATTCAAACTCTACATTTTACACTTTCTTTTTGCACCTCTTAACAGTTTTCCTCTGGGGTAGTAATTTGATGCAAATTTAAATTTTCAATGAATGAATGAAAGAAATGGAAAAAATCATGTCTTCAAAGGGTAAAGATGGGATGACAATGATACCTGAAAGTTTTTCATTGTTTATTCGTTTATTTGCTTGGGAGGTGGGGAGATGCCCTGCAGTGCTTGGGGGTGGCTCCTGGCGGTACATGGTAGCAAAACTTGCTGCCCTGATCTAATGGGAGCAGGCCTGGTCCTGAATAGGCTGACTTGATTTGATTTCTGGGGATCACTATGCTGGTGCTCAGGAAGCCATACATAGTGCAGGGGATGGAACCCTAGTCTGCTTTGTGAAGAAAAGCACCCCACTATTTTTTTCTTCTCTGAGCCTCTCTGATTCTCATTTAGCCCCTGATCCTGAATAGATTTTATTGTTGTTTACTTAGGGTTTTTTTGGCAGGGGTGGAGGAGGTGTGGGGGAGCACAACTGGCAAGATCAGGGGTTACCCCTGGCGCTCAGGAATCACTTCTAGAGATGCTCAGGGGAGCTTGAGTAGAACCTGGGTCAGCGGCCTGCAAGGCAAGTGCCTGAGTCACTCACTGAACTATCTCTCCAGCCCAGCACTGAAAGTTTTGAAATGATTATTAGGCTGGAGAGACAGAATGGAGGTAAATCTGCGGATCGGGCAGAAAGGAAAAACAAAAAAAGGAAGAGAAAAGAAAATCATCAGTCCTTGGAAGTCTTGGAACAGAATGGTGATGCTTAGGAGAACATGCTTACCTAGGCTAAAAGGTAGTGCTACTAAAGGAAAGAGCTTTGAAGTTTTGGGTCCACTGGGATCCATTGCCACCTGTAAGGAAAATGAGTTAAGAAATGAAATTTCAGATGGTTGTGGAAGGCAGAGCATATAGGTCAGTGATAGAGCAAAGACCTACCTGTGTGAGGTCCTATAGGTTCCATGCCTAGAGAGAGAGAGAGAGAGACAGAGAGACAGAGAGACAGAGAGACAGAGACAGAGACAGAGAGAGAGAGAGAGAGAAGGGAGGGAGGAAGAAAGGAAAAAGGAAAAGAGAGATGGTAATGAACCTCTGTCATTCACTGAGAGGTGCAGGTCAACTAAGAAACTCACATGTGTTACTTGAAGAATTAGGGTAACCAACCTAGTCAGTTTGCATAAAATTTAGGATTTCCTGGGGGACTGGGGGTTGGTAGGGGAGTGTTATGTAACACTTGGCCATGGTCAAAGACTACTCTCAGCTCTAAACACTCCCAGCAGTGCTCAGGGACCATGCTGTGCCAGGGATTGAGCCCAGGCCCCCACCCCTACCCCATGTGCTCTAAAATTCCTTTGAGTAATTTCTTGACCCAAGAATTCTTGAGCATAGGACTTGGCAGTACTAAAACTAAAAGATTCGGGAGCAGGAGCAACAGTAGAGCAGATAGGGTGCTTGCCTTGCACGTAGCCAACTTGGGTTCAATCCCTGATACCCCTTTGGTCCCCTGAGTTCATCAGAAGTGATCTCTGAGAGCAGAGCCCCACCTTCGATGGCCTGAACCAACACCCTTACCACCCCAAAAACACCAAACTAACTCAGGCATAGGGTAAATAGTGGGTCACCCTATGAGGACATCCTGAACGAATTCCAGAGTGAGATAGAGCTGCCAGTTGAAATTTAGTTGAAATTCTTCTAGTATCTTGAGAATGATTGTAGAGGAATGGGAGTTGCTGAATAAAGTAATCTAGACTGACCATATAGTTTGTACCTCTGAAGTCCTAAATGAATCAACTTACTGCTTTTCTGGTGGTTTAAGTAGGAACCTATACCTTTTTATTTGGTCTATTTTTTTTGTAATTTGGAAAATCCTTAGGATGCCCTCTCTAGATGTGCCCTAACATCAAATTACTGATCTTCCTCATTATATGCCAGTTCATTTCCAGATATCACTAAATTAAGTTCGTTCTTTCAGAATAGAAAAGACTGAACATATGCTTTTCATTCACGATGGCTTTATATAATCCCTGGCACCACAAAACACCATATTTGAACCACAGTAGGGGTTCAATAAATAATACATTATGTGTAATATTAATCAGGAAATTCTAACAACAGATTTTTTTTTTGTAGACTTCCTGGGTGTTCCCTCTGTGTTTGTTAGAATCAACATACTAAAAATAACCACTTCATTTGTAGATTTTTTTTAACTTTAATGTCTCTAAAAGCAGTTCATGGTAATTCTCTCCACATGGAAATGAATTTTTCAGTGTTTTTGTTACTTAGATAGGGGTGTGGTTAGTTTTCTCTGAACCTGAGGTTACTCCATGTCCTAAACCCTGAAGGATGAGGTTTTCTTTAATTAGGAGTTCTTTTTTTTTTTTTTCTCTTTGGGTCACACCCGGCGATGCTCAGGGGTTACTCCTGGCTCTGCACTCAGGAATTACTCCTGGCGGTGCTCAGGGGACCATATGGGATGCTGGGAATCGAACCCAGTCAGCTGCATGCAAGGCAAACGCCCTACCTGCTGTGCTATTGCTCCAGCCCTAATTAGGAGTTCTTAACTTTTTTTTTTTTTTTTTTGCTTTTTGGGTCACACCTGGCAATGCACAGGGGTTATTCCTGGCTCATGCACTCAGGAATTACTCCTGGCGGTGCTTGGGGGACCATATGTGATGCTGAGAATTGAATCAGGGTCGGACACGTGCAAGGCAAACGCCCTACCTGCTGTGCTATTACTCCAGCCCCGCCTTGGAGTTCTTAACTTTTATTGTAGATCTGTTCACTTGGACAATTTGGAAAAATGCAGATTCCTGGGTCCCATTTAAGTGCTCTAGGTTTTTGCTTAGGGACTCACATTTTGGGTTCCCCCTTATTTGTCTTTATTTATTTTGTGGGACCTCCCTCTTAATAGTTGGAGGCCATAGAGCCACTCCTGGCATACTCGGCCCAGCTGTGCTGGCCAGTGAGTACTAA